TCTTAAAAATTTTATTAAAATTTGTCAAAATAATTGAATTATTTAAAAATTTGTTGATAAAATTCTTTATGAAAATTCAATTTTAACAAACATTCAATTATTCACTAAATTATTTATTTTTTAATTTAAATAATTGAATTATTCTAGAATTTTCTATCAAAAATTGATTTAAAAATTGATTACCGAATAATCGATTTATTATTTATGAAAATAATTGAATTCTTTCAACAAATTTTATTACATGTTTTTTTAAATAATTGAATTCTTTTAAGAAATTTTACTACTTGTAAAAATAATTGAATTCTGGCGAAGGATTTTATTGGGATTTTTGTAAATAATTAACTTTTTTTTGAAAAATTTTATGGTAATTTAAATTATTACAAAACATGATGAAAGCGACCACTCCGAGTCGAAGACTTAATTAATTAATAATTAATAATAATAATAATTACGGTAATAATAATTAATTTCGTTATTTAATTATACAAATCCTTGTTCTTCTTCAAGGTTCAAAAATCAAGAAAAAAATATTTTCGCAATTGACAAACTTTTTTTATGTCTTTCTATTTTCTAAAAATCAGAAAATGAAGATTCTTATAAAAATGAAAGGTTTATGAAAAGCAAGCTTTTTACGACTGGTCGTCGTTTAAATTCGAACCACACAAGTATAGATTCGGGTTACATTTGGGTTAACCAACTCACTCGAAAAATGTCCTCCATATATTCCCAAATGTTTATTCCTTCGCTTTACGAAGATCGAAACTGCAGTTTTATTCTCATTTTTTTTTTCTGTTTTGTTTTGTACTTAATACTTATATATGTCGAAGAAAATTTATGGGAACATTTTATTTATAATCTATCTTCAATTTTCATGTAATTTTAGAAAAGATTTAGGAAAACATAAAAATAAATATAGATATTTGGTTAAACTTATAATAGCGAAAGTGAACGTATTAAAATAATTGTTTTTATTTATTTTATTTATTTATGTATACAGAAGTGTGAAATAGGCTATTATTTAAAAAGCACTTAAAATTCTGTCAGAGGGACGAATAAATTTTTTGGTAAAAATTTCCATTTCATGAAGGAGAAGAAAAAAAAGGACATTTATCTGATGCATATATTTGATGTTTATATAAACCGACTATTTTATTTTATTTAAAAAAAGAAAACAAATTTATATTCTATTTGATACTTATCTGTACCTATATAGATTTAGAAGATTATTTTTTATATTAAAAAATAGAGGTGATATTTAGGAAATTAATTTTCTTAGGTATATAATATTCTCTTTGAAATAAATTTGTTGAAACAAAATTCACCCTCAACAGTTTGCGCTAAAAATAATGAATGCTTTAAATTAAACGTTATCTTAACTTTTGTAGAGCAAATATATAAAATATATATAATTTTCTACACAATGAAAATTTTCAACTTTATGTGACAAATTATTAATTAGAGTTAGTTTTATTTCTCGAAAAAAGTGATAAGAAAAGTTGTGTCTATAAATGTTTCGGATTCTTCTTTTAAATAAATTATGCCAACATTTAAACTGTAATAAATTTGTATAAATTTGAGAAAATTTTATTTTGAGATCGTTGCTCATTCATTTTTGAGAAAAGTTTTTGCTGTTTAAAATCTACAGGTTTATTAACACAAATCAGATGTCCGGGACGCTTTAATAGTGAGCGATAATTTTCCTTGATACGAGAGATTCGCGGCACGCTAACTTGTAATCCTAAATATATGTCTTCATTTCACACTTCTAACAACCCTTCATCTCAAATATATTAATCGAATATTCAGGGAAAGTCGAAATATAAAAAATTTTTAAATTGATATTTCTCTTTGATGTTTTAACTGTACGGTTGAAGGTCAGTTATTGCTTAACTATAATTGTATAATTTAATATTCTCAATATTATTAACAATAGTTGAACAATAGTTTCATATAATTCGTATTTCTTGCATTCACATCAAAATTACTAGTATTTTTTTAATCTTGTTAATATAAATATTAATTTAATTAATTAATTTAATTAATATTTAAAACAGCATATAATTTTGATATTTATTAAAAATTGACTAGTTTCCTTTCAGTACATTTTCTTTTTATTCCCTAATTCGATAATTCATTCGCTACCTAGTTTTTTCTTTCTTAAAAAAAAGAAGTTTGGAGCAATGAATTGCAGATTTCATTTGTCATCCATTATTCCATTTTATTGAGATTTAATTCGTTAAATGGGATTCTTTTCACACAGAGTAGTGAAGAAAAGGGGATCTTTTTTATTCAAAGTTTGTCTATCATTGATAATATTTGGGAAAGAGAATTTATTATGATAAAATTATATCTTGAACTGTTATCGGCTTTTTAATAGAAATTTTCTTTTTCCGAAATATTTTTTCTGCACTTTTTTTTTACCTGAGAGGAAATGGTGTAATGGAATTTTGTGTCTTGAAAGTTTCTGTCTATTTTTAGAGGATAATCTAAATCGGATGTCACTTCCGGAAAGCTCTGATTTTCAGCAGGGTCAATGTCGATAAGAACGTGAAATTCTGTCTTCTGTCTTTTAATGATTCTTTGATAGTTTTTGTGTTGAGGGAAAAAAGAAGGAAATTCAAGTATTTTCTTTTGGATTTTTTTATCTGTTAGAATTCGCGGAAAAGACAAATAAAGAAAAGAAATTAGTTTTAATTTTTAGTCAATTTTCATTTTTTTTGTAACAAACAAAATTTAATTTTTAAATTAATTTTGTTAAATAAAATTAATGGGAATTTTCGCACTTTCTGTATAGAAATAAAGGGTAGATGTTTCTTTATTCTGAAAGGAATAAGAAAATTGCTTGACATTCATTTACGGATATGAAAAATGTCGTTCGAATGACTTGAATTCTTTTAACCATACGCGTCGTCTTATGGAAGTTTAAGGGAAAGAAGCAATTAGTGAAGAAATTTTTTTGCAAATAGTCTGGGAATCTTGTACATAAAGAATTAGATGTGTAGGCACGTATTGTTTATGCGATAAAAAAAAAAAATTGTCAAAAAAAGTTTCTTGGAAAATTTCTTGACCGAACTTTATACGGCACTTTGTAGCATTCTTTGCCAAAAGGAAGTAAAGTTTCTTGTTGAAACTGCCTTAAAATCTTTATGGCACAAAATCACTTCATTCTTGCTATACACTTGTCGAACAAAAGTCGCAGTTAACAAAAAAAAAAAAAAAAAAAAAAAACTGTCAATTTATTTGTGAACTGTATTTTTGTACACTGAGTAAGGGAGTTGTTAACTTTGTGCATCGATTGTTGCGTCAAAAAAGTGGGTTTTTTCGCAGTTTATTTAGATTTTTTTTTTCATTTTATTGCACACCTAGGAAAAAATTATGTTTTAATAAAGTACTTTTGTTTTGTTATATTTTGTTTTAGTTTATTCTAAGTTTATTTAGACTAAACATTTGTTTAGTGTAAAAAATTTAAAGAAACATTTGGTTCAGTTTAATAAATTTAAAGAAACTTTTAGTTCAGTTTAATAAGTTTCTAAAAGAAAGAATTCTTCTACTTGAAGATAATATTTTTCAAGTCAAAAAAGTTCACATCAACGATTAAGAAGAAAAATATTTTTTCTGTTGAAAACAATACAATTTTTTGTTTTCTTAAATTGTTAATTAAAAAACAATTTAAAACTTTTTTTTATAGAATATAAAAATTTAAGTAGAAAAATATAGTTTTTCTTCTAAATTGTGAAATTATAAACGTTGTGAATTTTTCCAATTAAATTTTTAGTTGAATCAAACAAATGTTTGTTAATTGTATATCAATAATGCATTTATGATTCAATTAAAATTTGATTAGTTAGAAAAATTTTTTTTCTATGTGGGATAATTACATTAAAAAAATTATTTAATTCGAGTAATCAATTATACTTGGCTATTATTAAATAAATATTTACTTGAATCGAAAAATATTTACTTGAATCAAAAAATATTTACTTGAATCAAAAATATTTACTTGAATCAAAAAATATTTACTTGAATCAAATAATATTTACTTAAATCAAACAAATTTGAATCAATAACTATTTGAACCAATAATTTCAGTATTTGCTTCAAATATACTGAAATTATTGGTTCAAATAGTTATTGATTCAAATTTGTTTAATTCACTAAAATAGAATTTATTTGACACAAGTAAATATTTATTTAATAAAACACAAGTTTTTAATTTATTTGAAAAAAATTTATTCGATTCAAATAAATACGAAGTACAAAATACAGTACAAAGTACAGAGTAATTTTATAGAGTGAACTTTGTCGAGTAAAACTTTATCAGCACCAAAAAAGAAACCTGTCGCTTAAAGTCTTGGAAAGTACAAAAAAAAAAAAAATGCTGATTTTTCGCCATATAGAATATTATTTGCGCATATTTGGAAATAAAAACTATCGTAGTTTTCATCTTATTAGAAATTGCCTTTTAAGAATATTTTCTCGCATTTATGGAGATTTAGCTACTCTTCTAATGTTGAAGTTGACAAGTTGCAAAAAAAACAAGTTGTTGCTCTTCACTCTCATTAATGGAAGCATTTTTTTTCCCCACCAAGTGATGGAGAAAAAAAAATTTGTGGAGAAAAAAAAATTATTAAATTTATTTGGCTTTTGTCAAATAAATATTTACTTAAATCAAATAATTTTTTTTTTTAAATAAATTTGAACCAATAATTTCAGTATTTGAAGCAAATACAATTTAATTGATTTAAATAAATATTATTTAAAGCAAATACAATTTAATTGATTTAAATAAAAATTATTTGAAGCAAATTTATGTGATTTAAATTTTAAATAAAAATTATTTGATTCAAGTAATTATTTATTCAGATAATAGACAGTAACTGGCTATTTGAATCAAATAAATTGAAATTAGAAATTGAAATTGAAAATTATGGCTATATTTTGTCATTTAATGATAACCGTAAATTAATTAATTGTGTCCCGCTTAATGGAAAATACATTACCTGATAAAAGTAGAACGAATCAATTTCCTGTGTTGTGTTAGCACTTGTCGATGAAACATTAAGGGTTTCTAACTCGAGATAAAGTTCCTCACTTACATTATATTTTGAGTGATTCGTATTCATTGCCGTTTGATTTTGATTTAATTTTCTTCTCGTTTCTTCAAACGACATTTTTCAGTCTTTTCTTTCCTTACAGTCTCATTATCATAATTGGAATTCATTACACACTTGAAAAATGATCAATTGGCGTGAATATTATTTCAAAATTGTTATTTTTTTTGTTAATCAAATTATTTAGTATCAAAATTGTTTATTAGAATTATTTTTTATCAACATTTATTATCAGAAATTTTGTATTATCAGAATTAATTTATTATGAGAATTAAATTTTATCTAAATTAATCATTCTAAAAATTATTAGTATAAAAATTATTATTATTTGATTATTATTATTATTATTCTTAAAATTATTTAATATTAAAATTAAAATTATTAAAATTAAAATAGTAAAAAATAATTTTTTTACTATCAAAATTGTTTATCGGAATTTTTTATTGTGAGAATTATTTATTATCAAAGTGATTATCAAAATTATTTATTCTCAATAATATTTGTTACCAAAAATTATTAATATCAAAACTATTATTTAAAAATTCATAACGCGAAAATTATAATAAGTATTATGCAGATTGTCATTATTTTGTTTAATATTTAGAAGAGAATTTTTCCAAAAGAATTTTAATTTCTTTCGATATTTAATATCAACGTAATATTTTCGAAATATTTCCGAAAATTTAATATTTGTGTAAGGATATTAGTATTAAAAAGAAAAAAAATTTGTTCCATTAATATTTTAGTTTAAAATATTAATATAAAAAAATTAAAAATTGAATGAAGTTTATTTTTTATTTTTTGTATCTAAATATAAAAAAAATGGTATTCTACCATATTTGAAAGCACTGGAAATTTTTGTCAACTCATTCTTTAATTTTTCATTATAATAATATCATACGAAGTTGTACAAAAAATCGAGCTTATAGGACTTGAGAATTTAATTTGTTTTTCCATTTTATTCGCATTCTTTTCTTCTATTCTCATACTTGGGAAGATTAAAGAAAATTATTTATTTCAATTTCACATAAAAATGCTAACTTTTATATTAAAGAATTAAAAGTGTATTTGTATTAAAAGCATATTTAATAATTTTTAAAAATAATATTGTAAAAATAAAGATGGAAATTATGCATGCAAATTAATTTTAGTTGAAATTTGAATTTTTTGTAATTAATTAAAATATATGGAAATTTTTTTTTTTGCGATAAAATGTAATAAGAGGGGAAAATTTTTGAGAACATGAGAAAGAGGAGTTCTTACTCCAACCACGCGCGGATCGCGACTGAACAATTTTCCCGCTAGACTTGACGATTTTATACACCTATATGAGAATGAAAAAGTATTAAATAACAAATTTTTGCCCAAATTTTTCACGTTAAATACAAAAATATACTTTTTTTTTACAAAAATAGAATTATTTCTACTAAGAAAATTTTTTTCTCCAAATTTTTATTTTTCGAAAAGAAATATTTTTTAACAAATATTTTTTTTTCATATAATAAATAAACTACTTTTTCTCCCTGTGAAAATAATTATTTTATAATCTTTTGCCCATAAATTTAAAACAAATAGATTTACTTTGATTAAATATAAATTTGCCTTCATCGTTGAGCAAATCAGTAACTTTTTTCTCCACCAGACATTCATATCCTTCGCGTTCGGCTAATTTAATCGCAGAAGATGCCGAAAAAAGTGTTACGGAAACTGGAATTCCATACTTGCGGCTTAAGAGGTGTCTGAAAATATATATGAAACAGAAAAGATATTTTAATTTCTTCATAATAATATTTTTCACTTAAAATTTTTGTTTAAATTTATTTCATGTATTTAAAAATCGAAAAATCAATTTTTATCGTATTATATTTATGTCAAATACATTTTTACCTTGCTGACAGTAAATGACCACCAAGAGACATTCCCCGAAAATTACTACCAACACTGAGACCAAATCCAATTAAATATTTATCAGCTCTATAAATTTCACGCCAATTGGATTCAGATGCGATTTTGTCCATAAGTTTCACCATCATTGAAAGATTTTTTGTTTTAAATGTGTCCTAAAGGAAGATTTTTCCAAAAAATATTAATAAATAATAATAATAATAAATTAAAAATAAAAAATAATCATTTTGCATTCGAGTGTTTTTAATTTTAATTCACATTTAATTTATATTTGTTTAAATATATTTTTTATTTATTTTAAATTATATTCAATTAATTTGTTTAAATAAATTAAATGTAATTTAAAATTAGAAAAAACTCAAATAAAAAATAATTATTTATGAAAATGTTTACATTCAGCAAAAAAAATCTTACTTTAAATGTTGTTCTATTGTCAGTCAATTGTTTAACAGAAACAAAAAGTAAATTAACACCTGCAATTACAGGTGTTTTTTGTTCACTGGGTTCATCAACAATTGCGACTATACTCATGCCACATTTTAAAATCTCCTTCCAAAAAATTCTTATTTCTTCATACGAATCTCGAGTTTCATTAATTTCTAAAATTTATTTTTCAATTATTAATTAAAATTGTGACTTAAATGATAAGAAAATAAATTGATAATATTCAGTTAACGTAATTAAATATTTAATATGTCAAATAAAACATTTAAATATGTCGTTTAATATTTAATAACAATAATATTTAATTTAAATACTGTTTTATTAAAATTGTTTATTATTATTACTATTAAAATTATTTTCATTATTATAATTCTATTTTTTTTATTATTATCACTACTATAAATATTGTTATTGAATTATATCGTTCGTTAAAAATAATTTTAATTTGAAATAATTTAATTTTTTATTCCAAACAGTAGATTTAATTATTAATTATTAAGAAAATTAAAGATATTTTCAAATTACGTTAATTAAATATAATTAATTAATTTTTAGTGTAAAAAATTCACTTGATTTAAATAAACGATTACCTGTCTATTATGAAATAAATATTTTTTTGTATGAAATAATTTTTAAGTTAATTAAATGATTAACTCAATTAATTAATTAGTTAAATTTAATAAAGTAAAATTTTAATTAATTTCTTAATTACTTGATTACTCACTAAAATTAGAAAAAAATTCTTCATCTCTGATAAAGTCGGTGCACATATGATCAATAACAGCATCAAACATGTCATCAGAAATTTCTTGAATTCGAAATTTTACACATTTCCCATTAATTGTTCCATTAACAATATTCCAAATATTTATTGGACCTGGAGGTCGACGAAAATTGCAATAATATTGAAAATTTTTTTGATCCATAATTATTTTTTTTTTCGAACAAAATAATAATAATGAAGAATGACAAACGAGAACTACAAAGTGACTGGCATTTTTTTTTACATACTTTAAAAAAAAGTTCCTTCAATTTTTAAGCGATAAATAAATTTTGTCATTTACATCAGTTTGTTTTAATTTTTCATTATTGAAGCTTATTCGAAATTGAAAATTGAAATTTATTCTCAACGGAAATTTATTTAATCTTTTAAATATTTTTTACAAGTGAAAAAAAATTTCCTTTTTTTTGTGTAGGAAAAGTTTCATTTTTTAAAGATTTTTCTTTTTCAAGTGAATGCAATAAGACAATTTCCTTTTTTTGTATGTGGAAAATTTTATTTTTTCTAAATTTTTTTCAAATTGAATGTTATTACATTCCATTGAAAAAGAATGTTTAAAAAATAATTAAAATAATTAATTATTTATATTTATTTATAATTTAATAATTATTAAAAAATAAAAAATAAGGAATTTGTAGTTTAAAAAATAAAATTTTCCACAAACAAATTCTTTTTTTTTTGTGTGTGCAACAAATTTTATTTTTTTTAAACATTTCTTTCAAGTAAATGTTATAAATTAAATTAATTTTTTTTCGTATACGAAAATTATACGAACAATATTTTTAGTAACAATTACTTTATTTTTAAGTTTATTAATTTATTTTTTAAAAATAATTTTTACATAATATGAAACTTGGTAGTTATGAGCATTCTCATCACGAGTTTCCTGCAAGAAAGGAAAGAGAAGAATTAAGATAGAAAAAAAGAGTGAAGACTCAAGATTGAAGCACAGTTTTTCTAAGGATATCAAATTAAAAATTAAAAATACGTTTTTTGTCTCAATTTGATATCCTTTGGAAAACTGTGAGAGAGAAAAAATATGTCAAATCGAATTTTTTTTTTGAAAAAATTTTTTTCTCATGATTTTTCATTAGTAATTTTGCCTTATTATCTTTAATTACTATTAGGGTAATTTAGTAATTTGTATCAAATTTATTTACTATCCAATAAATAAATACAAAAAAGTGTATAAATTATTATAAATTATTAATTTGTTAATTATAATTATGAATTATTAATTGCGTGTGTATGAATAGTATGAATTTATAATTTATAAATTATAATTATGAATTATTAATTATATTTATAAATTATAGTTTATAAATTATAATTTGTAAATTATAATTATTATTCATTATAATTTATAAATTATGAGCATAAATTATAATTATTAATTTATAAATTATATTTTAATTTATTTATGTTGAAATTTTGAATTAAAATGTACTTCTTTTTCATTAAGGGCATGCGCCTCGGTTACGCCTTAATTATACGTCACTGATTGGGCACACACCTAACTGCACCAGAGAGAAGAGCGAACGGTGAAAGATTGGCGGCTGATTCTTTATTCTTTCGTAGAAAATTATTTATTATTAATTGAGCAACGAGATCTATAATGGAGGAAATTCTAAAAAAGTTACTACTTCCCGACAATGAGAAGATTCAAGAGGTTAGTAAATATTAATTGTTTATTTCCTTGAAATTTATCTATTGCGAAAGAAAAACACGTGCTTTCTTAAACCGGTTAAAAAAATATTATAATTTTTATAAAAAAATCATATGGTTCTTGATTTTGTCCCCCTTTCATCGATATTGAGTGGATGAATATATTTATAAACTTAACAATAATATACAATGAAGATTAATTATGTTCCTAACCTAAAAATGCATGTGTCTTACAATTACTTTCTGTTACTACTGGAATTATTTACAGGAAAAAAGTATTATTTTTCAGTTTACGTATTTATTTTTTACTTGTAATTATTATTGTCTTGTGCCTTTTGCAGGGTACGATTGAGCTTCGAGAAGCTTTCAAGGAACCAGAAAGTACACCAGCATTGTACCGTATTGCAATTTCCTCGCCAAATCCTGAGGTTAGTTGAAGTTCTCAGTATTTTTGTTTATTTATTTTTATTTATTTTATTTTGTCTTTTTATTAATTTGGGTGTTAATTAATTTATTATAATTTACAGATGAGGCAATATGCAGCTGTGCTTCTCAGAAAACGTTATAGCAAGTGGAAAAATTGGTTAGCTTTACCTGAGCACATTCGCAATGAATTTAAGGCTGTTATGTTGCAGGTGACAAATTTTATTTGAATATAATTAAATTTTATTAAATCTATCTCTATATTTTTGTTGATTATTTTTTCATTTTAAATAAGGCTTTGAATTTGAAAATTTTTTAAATTTAATTCTTTTTGGAAATTAAATAAGAAAAATCAATTAAACAAAATTGTTTTGAATTTAATTTAATTTTTGTCGCAATATTTTATTAAAAACTTTTGAAAATAATTAAAATCTTTCAAAAAATATAATTTTGGAAAAGAATTAAACTGTTTTGAAGAATTTAATAACCAAATTTTTTTAAATCATAGATTCTTTCAAGAAATGCTATTAAAACTTTTAAAAATAATTGAATTCCTCCAAAGAATTTTATTATTTACTAAAATAATTTAATTCCTCAGAAGAATTTTATTATTTTCTAAAATAATTAAATTGACTCGAAAAATGTCCTTAAAATTTTTTAAAGTAATTAAATTCTTTCAAGAAATTTAATTAAGAATAAATTGAATATGATTATATTCTAATGATAAAATTTTATTAAAAATTTTCAAAATAATTAATTGAACTCCAGCGAATGGCTTTATTATTTATGAAAATAATATATAAAATAAAAAATAATAAAATTTGCAAAAATACAAATTAAAAAATGTATCGAAAATTAAAAAAAAATTTTTTGAGGCATTTAATTAAAATTATACTGAAAATAATTCAAGTTTATTTAAATAAATAAATGAAATTTTTCTAAAGAATTTTTTATCAAAATTTTTTAAATTAATTGAATTTTTTCAAAGAGTTTAATTAAATTTGTGCTGAAATTAATTGAGTTTTTCTAAAAAATTCTTAAAAATTTTTTAAATAATTGAATTCGTCCGAACAATTTTATTTTTTACGAAAATAATTAAATTCTTGAGACGAATTTTATTAAAATATTTGAAAACAATTAAATTGTTTTGAAGAATTTTTTTCAAATTTTTGATTATTATAAAATTCTTTTAAGAAATTGAATTAAAAACTAATTGAAAATAATTAAATATTCTAATAAACAAAATTTGTCAAAAATTTTGAAAATAATTGAATTCTTTCAAGAAAGTTTATTAAAATTGTATTGAAAATTATTTAATTTCTCCGAAGCGCTTTATTATTTATGAAAATTTTTATTTTTAAAAATTTTTATTATTTTTTATTTTAGATATATTTATCTAAAATAAAAAATACAAATTGTAAAAATACAAATTCAACTGTTTTAAAGAGAATTTAAATTCTTTTGTGGAATTTAATTAAAACTATACTGAAAATTCTTTGAAAAAATATTTTACCACAATTTTTAAAAATATAATTGAATTTTTGTGAAGAATTTTATAAAAATTTTTGAAAATTTGTTATTGAATTGTTTTAAAGAATTTGATTAATATTTCTGAAAATAATAAATAATAATTAATAATTTATTTTAATTATTAATAAATAATTATTTATTTATTTCATAGGCACTTGTAAACGAACAAGAGAAGTCTGTGAAAAACGCAATAGTACAATTAATTGGTATTATCATAAAACACGAATTACCGAAAAATGGATGGCCTCAAGCTCTTCAATTTATTCAACAATTGATAACAAGTGACAATATGGCTGAAAAAGAAGTAAGGATTGGAAATTAATTAATTAATTAAGGATTAAATTTTAATTTAACATATTATGTTAAATTAAAAATATAGTAATGCAAATATTTTATGTTGAACGTGAAAATGTATTAAAGAAAATTTTCCATTTTCAGTTGGGTATGTATACTTTGTCGATAATTACGGAAATTGCCAGCGAAGCATATTTGCCTACTTCACAAGCCATAATGACCATTTTGAGTCAAACTCTGAATAATCTTCAAGATCTTGCAAATTCAGTTGCGTATTATATTATAAAAACGATGCTGAATTTTGTACCTTACGTATCACAAAAACAACATGTAAGTATTTTGGGTATTTTAAATTAATTACTAATTATTTAAATTTTTATTTAATTGATATTGATAATTTATTAAAATATGAAATAATTTTATTCTGTTAATTTCTGATTAATTAATTTAATAGCTAATTAACTAAGTTGTAGTCAGCAATTTTTTTTGCTCAATAATAGTAAGAAATTAATTTAATGTTTAATTTGCTGAGTAAAAGTCAGAAAATCGATAATAATATTGATGAAATAAAAAAAAATAATTTTTTAATTACAGATGGTGAATGCCTATCATGAAATGATGCCAAGAATGTTGAATACCATTGTTGCCTTATCTGAATCGCACGAAGAAAAAGCCATTGAATGTTACGAATTATTTGAGGAACTTTGTGACAATGCTGTCACTGTTATATCGCCACATTTGAAAAATGTCATTGCGATGAGTTTAACTATCGCTCAAAATAAAAGTCTCGGCAGTGAACTCCGTGTCAAGGCAATTGCAGTTGTTGGCTGCCTTGTAAGAACCAAAAAGAAAGCCATTGTCAAAAACAAATTAGTCGAGCCAATCATAGGTGAAGAGAATAATTTTATTTCTTTTATATTTTTAATGAACTTTTTTATACAATTTGAAAATTTCGATATTACCAAAAAATTTTTGGTTTTACTTTGTAAATAGTAAATAGTGTAATTGATAATGAATTTTTAAAAATTTTTAATTTGTAAAAATTTGTACTAATTCTAAAAATTTGCAGATACTCTCTTCGCTTTGATTTCTTCTCGACCGGACGACGAGGAAGAGGAAATTTACTTTAATGGCGATGATGAAGATAAATCACCGATGACTTGCGCTACTCAAACGTTAGATGCACTTGCCCTTTATTTACCACCAGATAAGCTGATTCCACATTTGGTACAATAATTTTTTTTTACTGACATTTAGGACCTACTGTCAATGACAGTATTAGAAATTGATTACAGAATTATAATTTTTTTTATTTAATTTAATTACATCAGGGTTCGAACTAGGTCCGCAAATTTCAGTTCGTAAAATGTACGATATAATTTGGAGAATTTTAGAGAAATTACAAATAATTACAGAAATTCAATTATTTTGAAAAAATTTGTTTAAATTCTCGTCAAAATTTCAAATTATCTTAAATATCCAAACTCTTCTCCGAAATTCAATTATTTTCAAAAATTTTCCTCAATTAGATGATTTTCAATATCTACTATTTTAATAAAATTTTCCGAAAAAATTCAATTATTTAACAAAATTTTGATAACATTCTACGCAAATATTTAATTATTTTCATAAAAAAAAAATTTCACAGAAATTTAATTATTTACAAATTTTTATTATAAATTTCTTCGTATGAATTCAATTACTTTCATAAATAATAAAGTTTTTATAGGAATTCAATTATTTTCGTAAATAATAAAACTCATTTGCAGAATTTCAATTATTTTGAAAACAATTTTAATCATCGAGATCCTCGAAAAATGTAATTATTCTTAAAAATTTAATTAAAATTCGTCCAAAGAATTCAATTTTAAAAAACATTAAATTATTCAATAAATTATTTATTTTTGTATTTAAATAATTTTCGTAGAATTCTCGTAGAATTTTTATAATAAAAAATATTGATTAATAATGAATTTCACTTAAAATTTTAGATTATAATTGAATATTAAAAGCATTATAGCGTGATCTTTTTTTACAAATAATTGAATTTTGAAAAGGTTTCAAATTAAAATCTTTGAAAATTATAATTTTTCATACTTTTAACTAACAATTCTGTAGAAGAATTAATTTTTTTGAAAAATTTTATTTCAATTTTACTTCTAATTATATTTTTAAAGTTTCCATTTTCTAATATATGTTTAATTAATTTTCGAATAATTGAAATTTTGTAAAATTGAATTGTAAACAAGTGAATTTGATAATTCTCAAAGATCTTTTTTAAAAATTGTTAAAAGTAGTGAATTTATAGAAGAATTTTAATTAAAAACACTAAAAAAAATTTTTAATTTGGAGAAGTTACAAATAATTTCAGAAATTCAATTATTTTCAAGAGTATTAAAATAAAATCCTTCGCAGAAATTTAATTATGTTGAAAAATAATAAAATTCTTCTTGGGGATTCAATTATTTTTACAAATAATAAAACTCATTGCAGAATTTTAATTATTCTTAAAAGCAATTTTAATCAAATTCCTCAAAAAATGTAATTATTCTTAAAAATTTTATTAAAATTCGTCGATAGAATTCAATTATTTAAAAATTTGTTGATAAAATTCTTTATAAGAATTCAATTTTAAGAAACATTCAATTATTGAATAAATTATTTAATTTTGTATTTAAATAATTGAATTCTCGTTGAATTTTCTAATAAAAATTGATTAAAAAATGAATTTCAGTTAAAATTTTAGATAATAATTAAATATTAAAAGCAATACAGCGTGAATTTTTATAAATAATTGAATTTTGAAATTAATTTTTTTGAAAAATTTTAATTGCGGATTTTTTTTTTGTATTATTTGAAGTTTTTATTTTCTAATATATGTTTAATTGAAAAATTTACGAATAATTGAAATTTCCTAAAATTGAATATTGTAGGCAAATGGATTTGAGAATTGTCAAAGAACTTTTTCGAAAATTATTAAAAATATTTGATTTAGAGAAGAATTTTAGTTAAAAATTCTTGAAAATAATAATTGAATTGAAATGATGGTACATTAATTTAATTACAGAATTGCAGTATTACATTATTTAGATAGAAAATGTTAATTAAATTTAAAAAATTTTAAATTATTTAATTTAATTATAATTTGGCTATAATTACAGTTATTGCACATTGAACCGGGTTTGGAGGGAACGGACATTTACAAGAAGAAAGCAGCTTACTTGGCAATGGCAGTTTTGGCTGAGGGTTGCTCGGAATATATTCGTACGTCGTATCTCGAAACTTTTGTCCGATGTATTTGCAGTGGAATTGTCGATCCCACGCCAGTTGTTCGTAATGCCGCACTTTTTGCACTTGGACAATTCTCTGAATTTCTTCAACCTGACATCAGTAATTATGCGACGGAATTGTTGCCAATTTTTTTCGAGTACCTCGCGCAAATTTGTAATTTCATTAAACAGGAGAAGAAAGAACCGCCTGCAGTCGATCGAATGTTTTACGCATTGGAAATGTTTTGTGAAAATTTGAATGTCAGTCTATTACCATATCTGCCGAATTTAATGGAGAGATTATTTGAGAGTTTAGATCATCAATCGCCAGTGCACGTGAGGGAACTTGCTTTAAGTGCAATTGGCGCTGCAGCCAATGCAAGTAAGGAAAATATGGTTCCCTATTTGGAGAGGATTCTCGCTATTTTGAATCCTTATTTAATTGAGAAACAAACGGAGGAGACGATGTGTTTGCAAATTCAAGCGGTTGGTGAGTAAATTGATGTTGTTAAATTTATATTGTTGGTGGTTAAATTAATAATATGTTGATGATCGATTTTTTTAGATACTCTTGGTGTTCTTGTTCGAACAGTGGGGGAAAATATCAAGGATAACTCTTCGACTGCTCTGGCTGTGAAATCACTCGAATGCGGAATGACTTTATTGAAAGAATGCAATGATCCTGATTTGAGAAAATCTGTTTATGGTTTGGCAGCTTCCGCCAGTATGGTAATGAAGAAGGACATGAATTTCGCACTCTCTCCAATTGTCGATCAGATAATTAATAGCATAAAGAGTTCTGAGGGCGTTGTGGTAATTAAAAATTTAATTTCACTAGGATTTTTAGATTTTTTAAATTTAATTTCTAGAGTAGTTTAACTATTTGTCAAAAAATATTTCAGACTCATTACAAGGAAAATGAAGAAGCTGCGTTTCCGGTATACGAACCGTGTTTGCAAAACAGTGACAGTGACGGAGAAGAGGACATTGAAAATACAGACAATGAAGATGATGACGACGATGAGGATATTGCCGGTTTCAGTGTGGAAAATGCCTATGTGGAAGAAAAAGAAGAAGCTATCCTTGCTCTTAAGGAGATCGCACAAAACACAGAGTGAGTTACTTTATTTTTAATTCTTTTCTATTTTTCTTATTTTCTATTTTATTTACTTTATTTTTATTTACTTTATTTTTATTTATTTTATTTTATTTTCTATTTTATTTGCTTTATATTTTTCATTTTTTTACTGTTAGTTTTTTTATTCATTAACAATGTGTTTACACTTGTAGAGAAGTATTTTTGCCTTTCCTCGAAGTCTCCTACAATGAGGTGTTCAAAGTGATAAGCTATCCGCAGGATGACATTAGAAAGGCGGCGATAGAAGCACTTGGACAATTTGCTATAAATTTCTCAAGGATTAATACCATCGAGGGAAAAGAAGCAACACAAAAAGTCCTTTCAGCTCTCATACCAAAGTTTTCAGAGATTATTAGACTAGACTGCGAGCGCTCAGTTGTTATTAGTGCTTTAGATGAATTAACGGAGGTGCTAAAGGAAATTAAAACCGATGTTCTCATAATCGAAGGTCACAAGGAGGCAATTATGAATTGCATCACAGAAATTTTAGCAGGTGAATAGAACACAAAATTTTCTCTACAGAGTATGAAAAGTAAAATAAAAATAATAAAATAAAAGTATAAAAAACATTAAATTTTAAAAAGTATATAGATAAAAAATATTAAATATTAAAAGGTATATAAATCAAAAATATTAAATAGTAAAAACTAAAAAGTATATACAATATTCAAATCCATTTCTTTACAATATTCAATTTTACGAAATTTCAATTATTCCTAAATTCTTCAATTAAATAATATATTAGAAAATAAAAACTTCAAATAATATAAAAAAAAAATTCTGAAATAAACTTTTACAAAAATATTAATTTCAAAATTCAGACTATATTGGTTTTAATATTTAATTATTATTTAAAATTTTAACTGAAATTCATTTTGAAATCAATTTTTATTAAAAAATTCTACGAGAATTCAAATATTTAAATATAAAAAAATAATTTATTGAATAATTGAGGGTTTCTTAAAATTGAATTCTTATAAAGAATTTTATCAACAAATTTTTAAATAATTGAATTTTTTGACGAATTTTAATTAAATTTTTAAAAATAATGACATTTTTCGAGGAATTCGATTAAAATTGTATTAAAAATATAAATAATTAAAATTCTACGATGAGTTTTATTATTTGTGAAAATAATTGAATCCCGAAGAAGAATTTTATATATTATTTTTGATCAAAATTAAATTTCTGCGAAGAATTTTATTACTCTTAGAAATAATTGAATTTCTGAAATAATTTGTAACTTCTCTAAAATTAAATTTTTTCTTTAGTGTATTTAACTAAAATTCTTCCATAAATCCATTTATATTCTTAATAATTTTTGAAAAAGTTCTTTGAGAATTTTCAAATTCATTTGTTTAAAATTCAAATTTACAAAATTTCATAATTATTCGGAAATTCTTAAATTAAATATATATTAGAAAAGAAAAACTACAAGGAAATAATTTTAAGTAAAATTGAAATAAACTTTTTCAAAAAAATTAATTCTTCTCCAGAATTGTTAGTTCAAAGTATGAAAAATTAAAATTTTCAAAGATTATAATTTGAAACCTTTTCATAATTCAATTATTTCTTAAATTTCACGCTATAATGCTTTTAATATTGAATAATAATCTAAAATTTTAACTGAAATTCATTTTTAAATCAATTTATATTATAAAATTCTACGAGAATTCAATTATTTAAATAAAAAAATTAATAATTTATTGAATAATTAAATGGTTTTTAAAATTGAATTCTCATAAAGAATTTTATCAACAAATTTTTAAATAATTGAATTCTTTTGACGAATTTTATTAAATTTTTCGAGGAATTCGATTAAAATTGTTTTAAAAGTTATTGAAATTCTGCAAATAAGTTTTATTATTTATGAAAATAATTGAATTTCTAAAAAGAATTTTACTGTTTACGAAAGTAATTGATTTTCTGTAAAAAAAATTATTTATGAAAATAATTGAATTAATGCGAAGAAATTTATGAAAAAATTTGTAAATAATTGAATTCCTGTGAAATTTTTATTTTTTTACGAAAATAATTAAATGTTAGCGTAGAATGTTATCAAAAATTTTTTTAAATAATTGAATTATTTTGGAAAATTTTATTAAAATAGTAGATATTGAAAATCATTTAATTGAGGAAAATTTTTGAAAATAATTGAAATTTTGCCAAGAATTGTATTAAAATTAGTAAAAATAATTGTATTTCGGAGAAGAATTTTAATATTTCTAATGATAATTAAAATTTTGACGAGAATTTTATAAAATAATTGAATTTCTTCAATCATTTGTAATTTCTCTAAAATTCTCCAAATTATATCGTATAATTTACAAACTTTTCGTCCTTTCTTGATTTGTTTATTTTTTTTTAAATTTTTATTACGGACTTATTAAATTTATTAAATTACGGGCTTTACGGACCTTTCTTAAAAAAAACTGACATTTCCTGACTTGAAGCAAATTTACGTACCTAGTTTGAGCCCTGAATAATTAGAATAATTATAATTATTTCTTCTCAGTTTTAATTTCAAAATAAAAATGCTCTTTTCTTCTTTTTTCAGGACGAACATATTGTCAAGATCAGGAGGAGGCGGACGAGGAAGATATGGAAGCTGAACAGGACGAATTGCTGATAGAGTGCGCTGGTGATTTGTTGACTCATTTTGGAAGACTTCTTTCTCCTGAAGAATTTGCCCACTTCTTTCAAACTCTTTTAGCTTTTATTCTAGAACGACTGGTAAGGGATTTTATGACGAAACAAGAACTTGTAGACATTTTTCTCTATTACAAATTTTTAAAAATTAGTGACAAAAAAATCTCTTTTACAGAAAAAGAATAAAACAGAGGCTCAACGTTCCTTCGCCGTTGGAACAATATCAGAATGTTTCTCTGGATTAAAGCAAGCAGTGGCACCGTTTGTTCAACAAATTATGCCTCTACTTCTTGAACTCACAAGTGACTCGAATGCTGAAGTTCGTAATAACGCTATTTATGGAATTGGAGAAATTGCTTATCATGGAAAAGACGTGATTTTCTCGTAATTATTTTTCTGTTTATTACGCTTTTTTTAATAATTCTGAATTATTAAAAAAAAACATCTTTTCTCTATTTATTATTAAAATAATTTTATAATTTTCAATTATTCATTATTATAATAATTATAATTTAATATTATGATTATTAAAATTATTTTACGTTTAAAAGTAAATTAAAATAAAGTTTATTTTTTTTTAAATTCTTTTTTTATTTCCAGTAAATTATTTCTTTCGTCTATTTATCCAATTGTTGCATTACTTTTAACTAGAATTATTTTTCAGATATTATCCAAATATTTTACAAACATTGTCGAATGGAATTCAAAATGAATCGCACGCTGGAGCAAGGGACAATGTCGTTGGCGCGATCGCTCGACTAATTAGCACAAATTATTCAATTTTACCATTGGATCAAGTTTTCCCGGTCTTCATCAATCAATTGCCATTGAAGGAGGACGTTGAGGAAAATAAAGCAGTTTTTGAGAGTATCCTAACGCTCTATAAAGCAGGTCACGAAATTCTTAAACCTCACATTACAACATTAATAAATGTATCCAGTTCTCTTTTGAGCGACAAAAAATACAACAACGATGGTGAGTCGAATTTTGTTCCAATATTTATTCTTCAAATTTTCAATATAGTATTTTTGCTATATTGTTTTCGCTGACGATAAATATTTTCTCAAAAGTAGAATCAAATCCTGAATTTGGTAGAAAAAAAAATTTTTTTATTATTTAATTAACTTTTATGATTATTACTCAAATTATATTATTATTGTATAATTATTATATAATTTAGTATTATTTAGAATATTTGGAACTTTTGGAGGGTTTTTGTAATACTTACAAGTGGAAATTTTACACTAAGTTCTTTATTATTTGTTCGTTAATTTTTAACATGTTGCATTCTCATTAAGAGACAGTTTTGCTTTTTTATTGACAAGGTAATTATTTTATTAATTTTAATATTTAAATTGTTTTGTTTTCTTTTTCTTATATTCTTTGCTTTTTATACATTTTTTTTGTTTTTTTATTTTTTCTATTTTTTCTATTTTTTTACTTTTTTCCTTTTTAATTTCTGCAAGATTTGCTTTTTGCAAAAAAAAGATCTTTCTTTTTGAAAGATTTGCAAAAAGCAAATCTTGCAGAAATTAAAAAGGAAAAAAGAAAAAATTAAATTGAATCCACCGTTATTGAAATATTTTTCTCTTTTTTCCATAGAAACGAGAAACTTAGTTGTGGAATTTCTGAATTCAGTTAGAAGAGACTTTCAAAGCGAATATCAAATGGTACTTGGAGATCAAACGCCAGATATTCTAATCAATCAACAAGCAACATTTTCACCTTAAAAAAATGCTTAATGTAAGATCAGCTATTTTTTCATTTGACAACGATAGTGAAAATAATTTAGATAATCTACTTTTATTTTAAGGTATCTGGAATTATCGAGAAATTCTTGACACTTCAAATTTAATAGTAATAATGAGACTGCTTTTATTATTCTTTTTTTTTATCAATTAAATATTCTTTAAATTCTACTTATATTTATATAAATATATTATTCAAAGCTGCTAAATTTTTATACGAGAAGAAAAAATTTTTGCTACAAATTTTTAAATTTTTTTAAGAAAAATAAAGTTTTATATAACTATTTTTTTTTAGAAATATGTAAGAATTTAAGATTCTATTTTTTATGTGTAAATTGTAGTTTTCTTTTTGTGCGAAACAATTTACGATAATTCAAGTGTCTAAATTATTTATTTATCTAGTTGGACTTTCGTTTTTTTCTGATTGCTTTCGGATATATTTTGTTTTTTTTTGAAAGTTTAAAATCTATGGAATAGAGAAAATTAATATAATGAAAAAAAAATCAAAATGAAATATTTTTCTGTAAAACATCGAAAAAATAATAGTATGCATGAAATGTTTGCTTTTTTAATTTAGAGACAATATACTAGTGCTGAGATTGTTGCACTGGATATTCTATTTTTTTGTGTGCTCATTTTTTTTCTAAATAATTATGCAAGAAAAGCGTGATATACACTATCAATAGGTATTTTATATAATTCGAAAAAAGTATATATTTATATGTACAGTGAAAGATGTTCTAGCTTTTTGTGATATGATTATTGACCTCTAAGGAGTTGAATCACTATATTATATAATTCAATAGTTCCACGAATAAAAAATCTTTTTTTATGAATGTTACATTCTCGATTTTTGCCGTTAACAATATTTCCAATTTATTCTTTTTTTTTGGTATTATGGGAATAAAATCGAAAGAGTATTTTTCTTTAAAAGTATTTTTTTCCGAATTTTTAATTCCGTCTGTCTTCTATTGTATTTTGCCGAAAGAAATTAGTTTTTAGCGAAGTATTTTTTTTCTCGCTCATTTCCGATTGTATTTTTTTTGTATTTAAAAATTTCGATAAATTCCTGTATGTTCTGGAATAATTTCACGTGAATATCTTTATCGACTTTTGTATGAATCGTAAATTTTTATTGATTTCATTTAGTAAGAATGATGGAGAGAATGTCGTTTAGTACAGATAGAGTAGATAAAATAGACGTGAAATGCGTTCACTATCGAATGTCGGGGATGCTATCATTTCGTTATCAATGGCGCGATGATAACTCGATGGTCAGTTGAGTTTCCGTAAGCTTACTTTAAGCAACAGAAACACCTTGATTGAGTTATCGGAACACTTTCGAAAGTTTCACTTTTTTTTCTTTGTGTTCTTTCAAAAAAAAATTCGTTCTCTTTAATTTACAATCATGAAAAATTGTTTTCAAATACTTTTCTCTCGGCAAATATTTCTTCATTTTGGAAAATGAATTTTTTCATTCTCACATCTTGCGTGAAATTTATTCTCCATTCGTCTAGACAGAAATTCGAATTAAAATTACTGTATTTCTCAGTCCATTGGAAATGGATATTTAAAATTTTTTTTTTTTCTGTGATAAGTGTTAGCAAATCTGATTTTAAAAAAATTGATAATACTCTTCCTTGAGATATTTGAAATCTTTTCTACGTTTAGTTCAAAATTATACAAATTATTATAAATGCCAAGTACTGTATAAATTTGTGTATCTATTATTGGTAGTGACGAGTTTTTAAATTAAAAAAAAACGAATCGTCGATGCTCGATAAGGAAGGTGTGGAAAAATCGGTTTTACCGACCGATCTTGTGTAGTTTTATTTGTATTATTCTTCTTGTTAATAGAATTGAGAAAGGCTTCTCCAGGAATACGTTCAGAAAAGATACATAGTTACTCGTAATTGCTCGTGGAGCAATGCGGCTGTGATGAGACAACGAAAATCGGAATTCACACTGCCTTCAATAAATTCTCTCAGTGGTGTTTTCCGTCCTTCGATGACTCAATTCTTTACATTTATAAATCAACATATTCGTATTTCGGGCATGTGTTTATTATTGCAAATCAAATATACTAGTATTAGCGAGTATTTGTTTCGAGGACCCGCGATCATGATTTCCTGCTATATCCACTGAGAAAAGAGCGGAAGTTGTAAAATTCGACAAATATTCATTGAAATTCCCTTGATTTTGGTATATTGAATAATTTCAAATAAGCACGCGTGTGTCGAGAGGAGAAAAAAAAATAAGTGAAGAAGTGTTATTTCACAAAATTTCAGTGATAAGTGTGTTGGAAAAATAATTTTCTCAATGGATTTTTGAAATAATGTCGAAAAATTGGTGAGTTACTTTTTTTTAATTTCAATTTTTTTATTTTTTGAATTAAACTTTGATTTAAATTCTAAATGAAATTGTAATTAAATTCTAAATGAAATTGTAATTAAATTCTAAATTAAATTATAATTAAATTCTAAATTAAATTATTAGTAAATTCTAAATTAAATTTAGTAAATTCTAAATTAAATTTAGTAAATTATAATTAAATTATAGTTAAATTATAATTTTTGAATTATAATTCACAAATGAAATTAGTATTGTATTTGTAGAATATAAAATCTAGTGTCAATAAAATCTGATAAGATAATTGAATTTCAAAATGAATGGGTCAATTTGAACCAATTTTGGGTATTTTATTACCTTTTGGAACAATTGAACGGGGGATAAATAAAATTTTGACAGTTATTTAACTTTGATCACGTAGTAAATTGATAACAGGATGCAATATTATAAATAGTCAATGGAAAGCGATGTCCTTTTTAATAAAAGAATTTAATTATCGCATACGTAGTTTGGAGCCTGACTTGTTTCACTAAATTATATTTCGTGACGGAAAGTAATTTAATTCACTTAAAGAAATTATTTTTCTGATTTGAGTCAATTATTATCAAATTATCAATTTATATAGGTAACTAAAAAAATTGAAAATGTTTTATAAAAAATGAAAAAAGAAAAATTTGTAGAAAAAAAATTGAGAAGAAAATTTCTATTAAAAATAATTGCAAAGAAAATTTGTAGAAAAATAATTGAAAGAAATAAAGGGAAATAATTGAAAGAAATAAAGAGAAATAAAAAAAAATTGAATGAAAATTAATATAAGAATTTGGAAGAAACATTCATAGAAAAAAATTGAAAAAAAATTATACAAAAATAATTGAAAGAAAAATTTATAAATTGAAAAAAATTTATACGGGAATAATTGAAAAAAATTGAATGTAGATTTATCGAAAAAATAATTGTAATTTCGCTAATTTGTATTAATTTTCATAAAGATTTACTTTGTAGTGGTTTTGTATTGGATAAAAAAAAATCTTGTATTTTTTTTATATTTATTTTTTTATTATTTATTTTTCATACATAAAAATTCAGGCAATTACACGCACAAAGAAATGAAATAAACATGAAAAGACTATGTACTTAACTTTTATTAAATTGAGTAGTTAATTTTAATGACTTGAAAGTAAATTAGATGTTAGATAATAGTAATAGTTACAGGTTTGTAACATATTTTTTTTCAATTGACGTCAGTTTAAAACAATTGACGTTAATTTCTTATCACATTGGTGTAGTACTTTTGCGGAAAATGTTTAGTTTCATAAATATATTTAACACTTGTGCACTTTTTCAAGTTCAAATTTATAAAAAGCTCTTAAAATCCCAAGTAAGATGGTATATATCCTTCAAAAGCGATAATTTTATTTTTGGATTTTCTATTTTTGTCCTTCCTCTATTTTTCTGTTTTATTTTCATTCATTTTTTGAATAATTCTTAAAATTCTTTTTTTGGAATTAAATTAATAATTAGAAATTTTTAATTTTATTTAATATTAATTTTATATTTAAATATAAAAAAATGATAATAATTATCATTAAATTATTATTAATTAATTATTATAATTATATTTAAATAAATCTAAAACATATATTAAAATTATATTGTGATGTTATTTTGTTTAAATTAAAATTATTTTTTAAAATTTTATTTAAAATTAATTTTAATTTAATTAAAAATAATTGTTCGGTTTTTAATTCTTTTTTTAATTTTCCTTTTTCGAATAATCTTGAAATTTATTTTTTAAAAGTGAATTTGAAATGGATTTTCGGTTCGCATTAATATTGTGAGAGACAAATTTTTTGACGAAATAAAATTTAAAGAGTCGTTAAACTTAATTTATATTCTTTCACTATTTAATATCAATGATATGGACGTCTGTGGAATAAGGATAATTATTGGATTATTAAATTGTCGATTCAAAAGTTTGATGTCCCCGGAATATTAAAAACAAATTCTGCGAGTAATTTAAAACCAAATTAGTTTTCTTTTTCCTTTTAATAATAACATTAAAATTCAATATCATTTTAATAAATCGAGATTTATTCAATGAAAAATTTATTCGTACGTTATGTAATTTATTTATTTAAAAATAGAAGAAATTTATAGCTATTAGCTAAATTAACCGAATAATTAAAAATAAGGAATTAATTATTAATTAGTTGCTTTAGCTAAGTCAGCTAAATATTTATAAACAAGAAATTAATTATTAATAATTAATTGAATTAGCTGAATATATTTATCTATTAGCTGAGTCAGCTGAACAATTAAAAACAAAAAAAATTAATTATTAATTAATTAGTTGGATTTAATTAGTTTGATAGTTGGAATTAATTAGTTTGCTAAGTAATTAATTAAATTTTTGCGTCATTCAAAAAAGGAAATTTGTAAAAGTGATAAATTTATAATAAATGCGAACACAAAAATACTTTTTAGATTAGAATGTAAAGTTATTTATTTTTTTTTTATTATTGAATGTAAAATACGTGTTTCGCGATTAAGGATTCTATTGAAAAACAGTTTACACATTTTTCTCCTTCGCTGATTAAAATCTTGCAAGAATATAGCATATATAAACGTGACAGTTGAAAGTGTCTTTTACCTAAATCTCACGTAGGTAGAACAATGTCATTTATATAGTCGGTCAATTCAGCATTGTTTTTTCTTTCTCATCACGTTCAATTCAAAGAAGGGAAATTTTATAAGTAGACATTCGACATTTTTCAACTCTGCGCGACTTACAAAATTTTTGCTTTAATACGATACGAGTTCTTAATAAATTAGCTTTTAACTTTTTTTTTATTACGTATCCAATTTATATGCGAGAGTGGAGAAAAAAATTTCTTTCATACTGTTTGCTATTTTTTTAAAATTAATTTTTATTTTATTTATTTTTTATTTATTATTATTAGTTGTTTTATATAACAATTATTAATTATTATTTTTTTACGCGTATTGATTTTTTTTGTTTTCTATTTTTTATCTAGTTTTATATTTTTTTGTCTGTTTTTTTATTCAACTTTCTACTTTTTTTATTTAAACAATTTTTATTGGAAGTTAATAATAAAAAAAAATTAATTGAAAAATGGAAATTTTCAAAGTTTAAAAATAAAAATATATTGTCGGGAAATATTTTTGTTAATTATTTTTTTGAATTGAAAAATTGAAATCTTCAATGTTTATATTTATTGTTTAAAAATAGATATGTTGTCTGGCAATATTATTGTTAATTACTTTTGGAATTATATTTTTTGTAAATAATTTCAAAATAATTTTTTGTCATCATAAGGAAAATTGGTAGACTTAATCGAACATTTTTATCTTTCTTTATAATAAGTTCAATCGTCTTTGTGATTATTTTATTCATATCCACATTACAAGTTTGTTCTTTTATAATTGTCATACTCTGCAATTAAATCCTTATTCGATTATTATCTTAATCTCAAATTTAATTTGATATTTCGAAAGTGAGAAAAAATTTAATTTCAAATTTCGATTGTGAAAATAAAAATTAAGTTCAATTTCAATATTAGTAAATTTATTTAATTAAATAATTATTTAATTAATCGAATATAATAAGAAAATTAATTTGAATTTTGGTACTTAATTATTCAATTGATTAAAATGATTGGAGTTAATTATTTAATTAATTGAATCGAAACGTAAGAAATAAATTTAGTTAATTTTTAATTATTTCAATAATTGAATTCCAATTCGAATATTAAATTAAATGAAGGTAATTAATTATTCAATTTATCGAATTGAATTAATTATTCAATTTGTCGAATTGAGTTAATTATTCAATTTATTGAATTGAGTTAATTATTTAATTTATTGAATTGAGTTAATTATTTAATTTATTGATTTGAGTGAATTATTTAGTTAATTGAATCAATTAATTAATTTAAGTAGTTTAATTAATTATTTTTCAATTGAATTAATTAATGGAATACAATGAAAAATTTTGCTTTGTTGGAAATTTTCATTTTCAACGACAAAATTGAAAATTGTCAATAAATGTAGGAGAATAATTTTTTTCTGAAAACCTGACGCCTTTCCTGTAATATTTTATTCAGCGTCATTTCTATAGAAAATATTTCATTGATATAGAACTTTATAGACATTGTAATGCTGAATGACCCATTTTAAAGTTTAAACTTTCAAACAAGTATTTTTTTTCCTCATTCTTCTTCTTCTTCTTCTTGACGAAAAGAGAAATATAGATCAAGTCAATATTATACTATGCAATTGAGTTTCCACTTTACTTTATCGCGAGTATTTATTTTAATTTATAGGTATATATATATATATATGTATAGGTAGAGAACAAATTGAATTCCTTTGTTGCGATAAAAGATCTTTTCAAGAAGACAAGAAGGAGCCTTTTTTCTTTTTTCAAATCATATTATATCTTCCTTTTCTTTTTGTTCTAATAGATTCGAGATAATATGTATATTGTACTTAGAAATCAAAGTGTGTGCTTTTAAATAAACAATCTCAACGATTTTCCTCTTTTAACATTTGTGCACGCATTTATATGTGTATGATGATTTGTTATTACAAGTACATAGAGAGAAACGAATCGAGTGTTATGAAACTCTATTGAACTCATTGAGTTTCGAGATCGGATTAAAATATATAGTAATCTCCTTTTATTAGTCATATATGATTTAAACCGATTAATATAGTGCGTGGAATTATGAAAACAAAAAAATATGATTATCACACCTATCGATGATGTCCTTCAAAAAAATCTATACTCCAATAATATTGTAAACATTTTGTTATAATTAATATTCTGACACATTTTTCTTTTTTTTAATAAATAAAAAAAATAAAATATTTAAAAAAAAAATAAGTGTTTTTTTTTTAATATTGTCGGTTGGAAAGAATTTTTTTATTATCGCTAGACTTGTTAATGAGATAACAACACACCATAAAAGTCAATTATTATTATTTGTTTAGTATAATAATAATAATAATAATAATAATAATAATAATAATAATAATAATAATAATAATAATAATAATAATAATAATAAAAATAATAATTAACAATAATTATATTTTAGCTGTCAGAAAATAATACTTTCAAAAATTTACAACTCTTCTTTTCTTGTCAATCAGTAAATAATTATTAGTTTCACTATATTTTTTTATTATTATTATTATTATTATTATTATTATTATTATTGTTCATTTAATACAAATTTGAAAAATTTCATTTTTTCTCATCATTATTGAATCATGTTTCTTATCATTAATGTTTTATAACTATTTCCTTTGACACAGATTTTTTGATAGGAATATTTCTTTTTTTTTTCTTTGAAATATCTTTAAATTTTAATCCATTTAATCTTTTTCCTGTTTATGGAATTAGAGGCTTAGGAATCTATTGGGTATATGTATATATGAAATAATCTTCGAGTATTATTTTTTTTATTGCACTCATTCATGTTTTTCGAGAAATTATTTTAAAGAAAAGTTCAATTTTATTCGGTCAAAAAATAAAACTTAAAGAAAAATTCGAATTCAGTAACAAAAGTTGAATTCAATTAAAAATTAAAAATTGTAATATTTGCTAAAAATGAATTAATAATTCTGATTAATAATTAATAATTAATAACTATCAATTAATTCACAAAGTTTCAAAACTACAGATTTTTTAGATTCTTTCTAATTTAAAATATAATATATAATTTAATTATATTTTAATATTTTTAATATAATTTAATGATAATTTCTGGATTTATTTCTAAAATTTTTCTAATAATACTTAAAGTCTGCAATATTGTGTGAATAGAACTGGTTTATGAATGACAGTTGGAATTTCTATAATAACTATACAGTTTAATATAATGGTTTCATTAATAGCAAGTGTTTAAATTAAGAGACGATTCATATAGAAAATTAAATTATGTGCAATGCACTAATGAGATATTTAGCAATTTAATGGTGTGGGTGTGTTTGTGTACGGAACACAGGCATTTACAAAATGATAATGATAAGAATTGAAATAATCAAGGGACGTGTTGATAATTGAATATTAAACCTAATTCATTGTCATTAATTGAATCGTTAAAATTAAACAATTCATTGGTTCAAGTTTGGCCCATTTTTTTTAAATTTATGTCATTCAAATAGTTATTTTCAAATAAAAATTATTGACACTAGGAAAAAAATATTTTTGCAGTCATGTACTTTTTTTATTGCAATTAGTTTTGAATATTTCAGCAAAAATATTTTATTTTTACTTAAAATTATAAAAGAAATTTTATTTTTAATTTAAAAATGTAGAAGAAATTTTATTTTTATTCAAAAATACAAAAGAAATTTTATTTTTATTCAAAAATACAAAAGAAATTTTATTTTTATTCAAAAATAGAAAACAAATTTTATTTTTATTTAAAAATACAAAAGAAATGTTTCTTTAATTAAAAATAGAAAAGAAATATTCTCTTTATTTAAAAAGACAAAAAAAAAAAAAAATTTGTTCTTTGTACAAAAATGCAAGAAAGAAAAAATTTTTTACAAATAAAATTTAAAACGAAAATTTGTCTTTTAACAGTGCGAAAATCACGATATTGGTGAAAGATTGCGGTCTTTAAGGAGCGACACAAAAATGGATGGAGAAATCAAACCGCTGAGGAGATTCTAATCAACCTAAATGCTGCTCGAGGTCTGCTCAAGAAACATGGACGTGGAATTAGTGGCTCGGACATCCCTCTCCTCTCTTCATAAAGTGGACGAGAATCTCATCATCTCGCCCAATAATCTTGACGATTGGACATGGTCCAGCCTCCGGGTGATTATTTTTATTCAATTTCTCTTCGTCAAAGCCAATTTTTATTTTTACACAAAACGCCCATAATTAATTGATAATAATTTACGCCCGAACGAATAAAATAAACTAATAAATAAATTACCCCATGGAAATAGTCAAAAAAAAAGTCAAACTGTCCCGAATTTTTGATAAATTTGACTAGAAAAATGAAATGAATGAAATACATTGAAAAAAAAATGTTTCAAATATAAAGCCAGAAATTTTTTTCAATTTTTGTGAAAAAAAACTTTATTTGTGCAAATTTTGTTATTGATGAAAATTTTAAAAGCGATTTTTAATTTAATTTTTCGTTGAGAGTTATAATATTCATCTTGGTTGATCGATTTTCAATTAAAAGTGAATTTCCTCAGTGTGTGAAACAATAGGAAGTCTTCAAAGTCACTTGAGCTTAAAAGACCTACACGTGTTAAACATTGGATTTATTTCCAGTGCTCGATAGTGCAACGAAAAATTATAGATTTCTGCGAGTCTATATATTTTTACTAGTTTGTCCTTCTATTCCTTTTAATCCAGTTTCACGATCAACCGCTATGGCAGTGGTTCATTTTTGTTTCCTTATAATAATAATAATAATATAAAACAAAATTAACTTTTGTGAAATAATTTATATCTTAATATTTCGGTGAATCCCTAATAAATAAGATAAAAAAAAAAAAAAAATTTCTATCGAAATGATAAAAAAAAATTGTTATGAGAAAAATTACTTAATGGATTTAATAATAATTCTTGAATTTCTACATTTTGGATTAAATCAGGAATATTTGGATTTCTGTTTTTTGGATTTAAAATTTAATTACAGTTTTTGGATTCAATATTTATTGGACTTCTGCCTATTGGATTAAATATTCTTGGAATTTCTACTTTTTGAATTGAATAATTGCTGATTTTCTACTTTTCGGATTCAGTATTTACTGGATTTCTACATTTTGGATTAAATAATTATCGAATTTCTACATTTCGATTCTGTATTTACTGAATTTCTACTTTCTAGATTGAATTTTATTTGAATTTTTATTTTGGATTAAATATTTATTGAATTTCGGTTTTTTTATTCAAAAATAAAGAGAATTTCTACTTTTTGGATTTAATGATCGCTGATTTTATACATTTCAGCTTTAATATTTATTGGATTTCTACATTTTTGATTAAATAATCATCGAATTTCTACGTTTGGATTCGGTATTTATTAAATTTCTACTTTTTGGAATCAATATTATTAAAATTTTTATTTTAGTTGAAATACATAATATTGAATTTCTACTTTCTGAATTCTGTGATTGAAATTTTAATTTTTGGAATCAACTTTTAATTAAATTTTACTTTTTGGATTAAATATTTATTGAATTACCATTTTTTGGATTCCAAATTTACTCAATTTCTACTTTTGGTATTCAATATTTATTGGATTTCTTGTTTTTCGTTTTAAAATATTAAATCCAAATTATTATTTTGAATTTTTATCTTTGATTAAATGAATCCGAAATTAAAATTCAATATATTGAATCCAAAAAGTAGATATTGTTTTATTTTTTGGATTTAATATTTATTGAAATTCCACTTTTTTGACTAAATATATCCCGATGTCTACTTCTTGAATTTAATAATTGATTTTCTATTTTACGGATTCAATATTCAAATTTTTCAATTTGAAATTGTTTGATTGAATATTATTTAAATTTTTTATTTTGGATTCAATCAATATTTATTAAATTTCAACTTTGTGGATTTAATAACTACTAATTTTCTACTTTTTCTGATTAAATATATTATATTTATTTAATCTCTTCTTTATGGATTTATTATTTACTGAATTTTTTATTTTTTGAATTCAATAATTAATTTTCTACTTTTGCATTCAATATTTATTTGAATTCTACTTTTTTGCTTTCAATATTATTTGTATCGTTTTTTTTTCGATTGAGTATTTATTAAATTTTCATCTTGTGGATTCAATATAATTATTCTTTACCGAATTTCTTCTTTTTTTATTCAATATTTACTGAATTTCAATTTTTTGAATTCAATAATTAATTTTCTACTTTTTTTTTTTTATTTATTTGATTTTTTCTTTTTGGATTAAAAAGTTACTGAATTTCTACTTTCTGATTTCAATAATTATTATTGAATTTTTACCCTTTTGATTCAATATTTATTGCACTTCTGTTTTTTTGAATTCCGTATTATTTAAAGTTTTATTTTCGATTGAATATTTATGAAAATTTCAACTTTGTGGATTCAATAATTGCTGATTTTCTACTTTTCTGATTCAATATATAATTATTCTTTACCGAATTTCTTCTTTATGGATTTAATATTTACTGTTTTTCTACTTTCTGGTTACTTTCTGGTTTCTTATTGAATTTTTACTTTTTGGATTCAACATTTATTTGAATTCTACTTTTTTCATTGAATATTATTTGTATTCAATATTATTTTCAATCGAAAATAAAAATTTTTATTAATTTATTAAATTTTTACCTTGTGGATTCAATAATTGCTAATTTTCTACTTTTCGGATTCAATATAATTATTTTTTAACGAATTTCTTCTTTTATATTTAATATTTACTGAATTTCTACTTTCTGATTTGAATAATAGAATTTTTACTTTTTTGATTCAATATTTATTGCACTTCTGTTTTTTGAATTCAGTATATTATTTAAAGTTTTATTTTCGATTGAATATTTATTAAATTTTTGCCTTGTGGATTCAATAATTGCTGACTTTCTACTTTTGGATTCAATATTTATTTTATTTCTTCTTTTTGGATTAAATATTTATCAAATTTCTTTTTTTTTTGGATCAAAGATTTACTAAATTAAATATTTATTGGAATTGCACTTTCTAAATTCAATATTACTTCAAGTTTAATTTTGGATTGAATGTTTTAAATTTCTATTCAGTAATTGCAGACAATCTACTTTTCGGATTCAATGTTTATTGAATTTCTATTTCTCGGATTCAATTTTTATTAAATTTCTATTTTCCGGATTAAATATTTATCAAATTTCTTTCTGAATTCAATATTATTTGAATATTAATTTTGGAGTGAATTTCTAATTTTTTAATTGAATAATTTATATTTTATTTTCTACCTTTGGATTCAATGTTTATATAAATTTCCACTTTTTGTATTAAATATTTATTGATTTAGAGATTTACCAATTTTTTCGGTTTAATTATTTACTGAATTAAAAGTTTTTAATTTTCTACAATTTTTGTTTCATAATTAAGAAGCAATAAAAGAAAGTGTTGTCACAGATTTTTGTATAGTTTGCAATTTTTTCGCTTCTTTAGTTCTTTTTCACTAAAAGCATTCACGTTGTGTGCAATATTGCCTTTTATATTTCTCACGATATTTTATATAGAATTAGGCTGAAAATATTCATGTGTACGGTTCATTCAAACATGAAGTTCTATTTTTGTAACCACCTCTCTTTTTCCATCGAAAACTGAATCACCAAACGAATACAATTTAATGACAGGATGAAGGAAATGAAAGGTCACCTGCACTTGAATTTTCCTCTCTCTCTAAAATTTGAAATGCGCGATTTTTCATTAGAATCACTGCTCTGACTGTATAAAATAATAATGATGTCTGGAAAATTAAATTCACAGACAGAAATATCTTATATAAAAATATTTCAGGTCAGAGTACGAGATATTATTCTCCACTTATACAGTGTATATTTTATATATATGTATATATAGGAGAGAATCGCGAAGAGAGGGTTGGAACGTCGACAGAAAATTAAAGATCAATATATTACAAGGCCTATATATCTGGACCAAATTCCATTCTTTACTGACCTGAGTCACGTGTAAACATTTTAATCTAATCGTAATGTTTCGTTGTAAACCATTTATTTCATCCCACATTCATATCGAATTGCAATTCTTTTTTTCCCCAAACATTCTCTTTCTCTCTTGATTCGATTTTTGTGTTTAAAATTCACTGCCCTGGATCTGAAAATCTTTCCAGCATCTCATTGGAGCATTTGAATCTTTATTTTCCATTCGTTTAATTTCTTTTTTTGTCTTATGACATTATATTGTTTCTCAAAATATTATTTCTCGAAAAAGAGGATTTTTTTCTCTCTGGGAATTAATATTCCTTTTAATGGATAAAAGGGAGGAAAACGTGGGGCGACTGCGCGAGAAAAGCAGACTATCGGTTTGGAAGTTGCGAAAATGTGTGCATGTGTCTCTGATTGTAAATTGTTTAATTGTACTGCAGGATTCATTATAGTGGAGACCTTGATTTTTATTGATAATTATTTTTAGAATTGAAAAAATTGTTTATTTGGTTTTTTTTTTAATTTGAATTAATTCATTAGTTCTGATGAATAAAAAAAAACAGTAAATACAGGACGATTTATATTCAGTGATTAATTATTAATTTAGTGACGATTATTAATTAATCAATCATTTTTATTTTACTATTATTATTATTTAGTTTTAATAAGTAAATAACCTTTATATTTATAAGTTTTTGTTACAGAACTTTTTTATGACTTTTTTTGTTGCGGAGAATTTATTTCCTGGTTTCTTACTTTTAGAGAATTTATGTTCTGATTTTTTCAATTTTCAGGAAGTTTGTTTATGATTTTGTCTACCTTGGAGAATTTTTTTTAATTTATTTTTTATATTTTTATTCCTTTTTTTGTATTAGAAAGTTTATTTTAGTTTTTACCTTTAGAGAATTTATTTCCTAATTTTTTTCCATTTTAGAGAACTTGATTTCTGCTTCCCAATTTTTTACGACTTGTCAGTTTTAGAGACTTTTTAGTTTTTAAGAAATTATTTTACGATTTTTAATTTTAGAGAATTTATTTTCTGAATTTTCGGTTTTGGGAAATTTTTTCTGATTTTTTTTCGTTCTAGAGAATTTATTTTCGGATTTTCTATTTTAAGAGAATTTATTTTCTAAGTTTTCGACTTTTGAACATTTTTTTCTGACT